TAGTAAGTTAATAATTCTACTAAACTGCCTAATAAAAAGAAAATTTGGAGAAAAGGCACATTCTTTAATAGAAAAAAACTTGCTGAGTTTTTTTTTATCTAAAGAAAGACGACACTAAGTAGGATCAGATTAAGTGAACTGCTGTTGTTTCAATTAGAACACCTGAGTAGCACAACTGTATATTCAATTTTAAAATTTTTAAATGAAGAGTTCTCAACAACGATATTGGTAATCTTGAATCAGTTACAATATAAAATTATAACAGCTCTTTAAATTACAAATCAATCAAGAAAGCCTAACTTGACTTCAATGTGAAAACCTTAAAAATAGACCCAAGCTTACAAAGCAAGCATTATAGCTATGTGGACACCTTTAGAGCAACGATTCATAACCTCCTGCCCTAGATCACAGACTTACTGGAAAGTTAGTAGAAGCTACACTAGACGTGTATGTGCTCATTTCCTAAAATATCACAACAATCCTAATTCATGAGTCCTACAAACTGGACTGTTGATCCAAATTAAGTTCTGTATCTCAGGACAATCAGAAAATAAAGTACACACAGGTACATAATCTTCATAGAATGGCTATATTTTTATTCAAGGCCCAAAGAGAGAGCTTTCAACAAAAATAGATAACCAGTTGACTCTTACTTTGTATGGCCTTCAAATTGTCTGAGTGGGGCCCTCCCACTTATATCAAAAAGCTGAACAACACCATCTTCACTTCCAGCCACAAGCAACTGACCATCTTGTCGGAAAGTGGCACTGTATGCTGTGTCTTTAAAACGTGAAAAGGTTTTTATAGGTTCTTGGGAGTATCGACCATAAATGTGAATCTATAAGACAAAAAAATAAATCAATAAACAGTATTTCACCAAATGACTCAAAATCAGCAGAAAACTATATAAAAGTGAAGAAATTTACTATTGTACTTACTCTTGAAGAAGCTGTTACTGCATAGTTATATGGAGGCTGAGGAGAAAAGTCTACTTTTGATACTGCACCAAATTCCTTAATCTGAACAGGGGTCTTAATGAAAAAGAACAAAGTATTAACATAGTTACAACTGGTGACAAGGCCTATTTAAGCATTACATAATTTCTTATAGATGGGTTTCTTTGTGTTCTTAGTAACAGTAGGTTGCATTTACTTTAGCAATACAAAAGAAGCAATAATGATCTATATCCCATGACTAGAGTATACTTGTTGCCATTAAAAGTAAATAAATAAATATAAATAAATACAAACTAGAAAGCTACACCTGTCTTTTCAGCGGCCAAATTCACTCCAATTCCTGTCAGGAGGGTGGGGAGTTATGACTATACCAGTATACATTTAACTAAAATTTAAAGCAACACAAAGATGATTATACTACACAGTCAATGAAGGCAGTTCTATACCCAGTTTTCACTAACTAACTCATCTCAGCTAACTTTTCATACAAGTGGCAGGTTTAATATCTGTTTATAAGGAAATATCATCATTTACTGTATCAGCCTATTATTAATGGACACGAAATTTACAAAAATTCTAATATTAGCTGAGCATGGTGGCTCTCATCTATAATTACTACTGGGAGGTCAATTATTGAAAAGATCATGGTTTGATGCCAACCTAGGCAGAAGGGTCCAAGAGATCCCCTCTCAATAAAAGAAACTGGGCACAGTAAAGAGAACCCATCATCTAGCTATGGTAAGAAGTTTAAAATAGGAGGACTGTAGGCCAGGTGGTACAGGCTTGGGCAAGAAGGGAGACTGTATCTCAAAAATAACTAGTGTTGGGGGGGGGGGGGAATTGGGTGGAGGGAGGGAGGTGGGGGGAGTATGGGAAGGGATAAGAAGGGAAAACGAAGAGGAGGCAGCAATGCTTAATAAGACATGTATTCGTTATCTTGGCCATGTAATTGTAACTCCTCTGTACGGTAGTCTCACAATAAAAAATAAAAAATAAACCAGTGCCAGTAAAAGCTGGAGGCATGATGCAGCTGTAGTATACCTGCCTAGCAAATACAAGGGCCTGAATTCAAACTCCAGTACTACCACCAAAAAAAAAAAGAAGAAAAAGAAAAATTTACTAATACTAAACATCTTTATACAGAATACAGATCTTAACAAACTTTTGAAAGTATATTTATTAAATATGTGAGAGTGTAAGGAAGTGGTGCTATGGCTCAAGTGGTAGAGTGCTAGCCTTGAGCTGAAGAGCTCAGGAACAGTGACCAGGCCCAGAGTTCAAGCCCAATGACTGACAAAAAAAAAAAAAAAAGGCAGATACATTTTTTTCAAATCATAAAAGATATTGTCAAGTTGCCATCCAGAAAATCACCAATTCCCTTCCTTCAAGTAGTAATGATGATCAAAATGCTGCATACATGCCAATTTAACAAATCAACATAGTATTAATTATTATCTTTTATTTTTTATTTATGTGTGAAACTGGTCAATATATTCCAATGCCCAGTTTATATTTCTGGTTTCATAAACTTCCCCAATCCCAAGCTTTTTCCATTGATCTATTTAGTTCTTTTAAAAATCTTATGTAAACTATACTAGACAGTACTGAAGAATCAATTTAGTACTTCTTCTTGTATGAAATTCATATTTAAATCATTTGGCCTTGACTAATCATATATTCTGTGCTAAGCATGTCTACAGTTAAAATGATTAAGCAGTCCATACTTTTATATAAAATGTTAAGAAAAAAGTAGCTTCTCAAACACTAAGCTGCTCACAAACTATTAATAGATAGTTAACAGACAGTTAATGGACAGTTCATAGATATGCCAGCATATTTGAAGTACAACAAATGCTGGACAAGCTGCATAAATGAAGAAATAAATGTACAAATCTCCTCCCTCCTCCCTATCTTCCACATACCTTATAGTTGTTCCAGTACACAGTATCTTGTGTGATCTTCTCACCAAGTATAGGATAGGTTTGAATAGCTACAGGCTTATAACCAGACATCGTTACATATAATTCCTCTGTTTTCTAAGACTTAGTAATTTGGTAGTGATATTAGAAATAATTCCAGTGACTCCACTTTCGGTCTGAAAAAGAACATGTTTTAGAGCATGCATTATTCATAAATTGTGTCCACAGGTATGGTTTTCATTCTGCTTTCTTTCTGTATATTGTATAGAGTTTTTAGGCTAGTGATCCAACTTTACAAGCCATGGAAGGCCAGGTTTCCAGGAAACCTCTGTTCTCTGAGGCAGGGTCCTGTCCATGACCTCATGTGACTCTTAATTCAAGTAATCATACTGCAATGAAATGATCTCTCTTCTTTTTTTCACTTTCCTATTTTTTATTATTTGAGATAAGTGTATTGCCATGTAGTTCAGGCTGATCTTGAACTCACCATCCATCTGCCTTAGCCTCCCAAGTGCTGGAATTACAGGTGTGTGCCACTATGCCCAGCTTGTAACCATCTGCTTTCCTGTTAAATTGGACAATTTGCCTGGAAGCTTTTTTAAGTGCTCAAAGAATGCATGTGGAAGGAAGGAAAGGAAGCGTTGTGCAAGTTTCTATGGAAAAATACAAAATTAAAATCACAAGTAGAGTCTATAACATGAACAAATACTACACAACAGGAGTTCAAAAACTTTTTTCTGTAAAAGTCTTAATGGCAGTTATTTTATGCTTAGGAGGCTAACATGCAAAACAGTTACATATATTTAGAGAAAAAAATCTCAAATCTTATTAACAATTTTCTCCAAATAATTATAAGTACAATTTTTATGAATGAAAAGAATGGAATTATCTGGAGGCATAGGACAACATGTCACCTAATTCTAGGTTAATCGTAGTACTTCCTATTACCAAATCGACTGCATACGCTCATCTGTCAAAAAGCTTTCTTGGCTAAGTGGATAACAAAAACAGGTCCTCAGACAGATCTACCCCCTAGGCCCACTGCTCTTTTTTACAATATAGGAATGCCACCTAGGTCTGTCTTTTTCTTTAGTTTTTATTGTTATTATAAAGGTGATGTACAGAGGGATTACAGTTAGATAAGTTAGGTAATGAGTACATTTCTTCTTGGACAACATCACCTCTTCCTTCGCTCTCTCCCAGTTTTTTTTTCCACCAGCCCCCACTCACAAGTTGTACAGTTAGTTCATTTTCAACATAGTGTCTGGTGAGAACCATTGCTGCTAGCAGTGTCTTACAAACGAAGAGCAGTAGCAGTGGCTCCGCGTGCGGAGAAAAGGGACACCTATACATGTAGCAATAAATGATGCGAAAGTGAGCAGAAGGACTATGATCCGGCCGAGGTCAGACTAACAGGTAACTACCCCAGGTAACTAGCTGCATAACAGGTACTACTGCTCTGTGCACTGCAATGCTGTGTCGACGAGCAAATAACTGCTCGGCGCCAGCTCCAGAGAGAACGATTTTTAATCCTACCAGAGGAATGTAAAAGATGGAGAAGAGGAAACACTCGGGCAATCGACACGGAAGGAAAGACAGAGACGGGAAAGTCCGCCACTGCCTGGAAGCGGTGCGGAATGCCCGGCAGATGGAAAGCGGTGGGCTGGACCCGACATTACAGAGGAGGAACACGCGGTGTGACAGAGACCCGCGGAGCCGGGCCGTCTCCAGCGCAGGCCCGGAGGGCGCAGGCCGCCGGGCCGGTCACCGCAGCGAGGCCCGAGGACGTCGGGGCCATCCTCAATGGAAGCCGCCTTTGCCTACCTCTGCTGGGTCCCAAGGTCCGCCGAAACACTCCGGTCGCAAGGAAACCCCCTTGGACCTTGCCAGCTTTCCTAAACCAGATCTCTCGGCACCCGGACTCAAAAGAAAAAAAAAAACACGCGGACCTTCAGGGAGCCGGCAGCAAGGGAACCGCGCGTAGAGATGACATCACGGCGCATGCTCAGAAGACTCCAGGCACCGAGGCAGGCGGGCGAGGAGGAGGGGCGGGGCTATAGAGTGGGCGGGGCGTTCCGGAGGAGAAGGCGTGGCCGGACGAGGACCCGGCTGGGGTCTGGCCCCTTAGGACCTAGAGCTGTCAACTGACATGGCGCTTTCTCCGTAGTAACCGGGTAGGCTGGACCGCGCCGCGTCAGGACCGGAGCAAATAATACTAAAGCTGCAAACCTGGAAGTGTGTTTGATGACACTGATCTCAGAACATTTTTTTGTGTGTGAAAGAGAAAAAAAAAACCTCGGAAGTGACGTCGCGGCCCAACAAGCCCGAGCCTGCGGGCCTGTGCGGACTCGGGCGGCGCGCGGGAAGGCCGGGCTCGCTCTCTGCCGTCGCCGGTGGCCGCGAGGCCGCCCTGGCCCGCCCTGCGCGCCTCCCTTCCGCGACCCCAGCATCCGCCGGCCGCCTCCGAGCGAGCTTCCTCCTCCGGCCACACCGGGGAACAGGTGGCCGGTGGCGACAGGGCACACTTCCCATCTGCAGGTCCCCACTTGAGCGAGCTCCTGCTGGGGACGCCGGGACACCTGTCGCCGGTAAGGCCCGATTTATTTTCCTAGCACCTTCCTGTCCTGGTGGGACAACGTCAGGATTACACAGAACGAGGGCAGGGGCGGGGGCTGTGCCTGGCCTCCACTGAGGACTAGCACGGTTGCCCGCTAATGTCGGGAGGCTCTCGTCTCCTTCCATCCTTGGACTCTTGACAGATCGAGGTGAACCTAGCCCAGGGGCCTCCTCTTAACACCTAGAATGGTAGCTCAGTGGTGCACACTTGCCTAGCTTGCAAATAATATAGATAGAGATATAGAACTAGAGGTAAAGGAAAAATAGATGAGATATAGAATACTTATACATATATGTTTGTATATGTGTGTGTAATGTTAAGAAATGAACCTCAAGTCGAATGTTAAAGTTTTAACATGAAAGTTTATTTTTACTGGGAGCTTGATCTTTGTATCCATTTGGCAGCCGGGAGAAAACTACTAAAATGTGTTGGAAACTAGAGGTGAAAGTAAAAATGTTACTGTATTTCATTTGCTCTTTACCAAGGGTCTGATAAGGTTAATAGAAGCGTCCCTATTTTACTAACAAGATTGAGTATCTGGACTGGCGGCTGTTGGTTCACGTCTGTAATCCTTGCTACTCAAGAGGCTGAGATCTGAGGACCACAGTTCAAAGCTAGCCCAGTCAGGAAAGTTTGTGAGCCTCTTATCTCCAATTAACCACCAGAAAACCAGAAGCGGAGCTGTGGCTTAAAGTGGTAAAGTGCAAAAAGAGCTCAGGGACAGTGACCAAGCCCTGATTTCAGTCCCTCTACCAACCAAAAAGAGGAAAAAAAAAGTCTCTGGGAGTTCAGTAACTTGTATAGGTCACACAGCCAATAAATGCAAAGCTTAGGTTCAAATCTGGACTCCTTCATTATATTTCGTATTCTTTCTGTTACATTTCTTAGGCTTACAAGTTTGGATGTCTAATTGAAAAACAGTTTATGTACCTTTACCTAAGTAGACATAAAACTTTTAATTTTCTATTTTTTTTGTTTCAGGTTTTTTAATATCCAAATTAAAGAAGACACTGGATAAAGATTTTATAAATCAAGAAATAAAACAGAAATGTTTTAATTATTGAAACCATAGTCAAAATCATGGCTTCATCAGCAAATCTGGACCTTGGAGCCCAGCTGATAGTGGAGGAGTGTCCCAGCAGTTATAGTCTGCCTGGCATGCCAGACATTAAGATAGAACATCCACTGGACCTGAATTCAGAAGAAGGATCTTCTCAAGGGGTTGCCATGGAAATGAAATTCATTCTGCCCAATCGATTTGATATGAATGTGTGTTCTCGATTTGTGAAGTCCCTGAATGAAGAAGACAGTAAAAATATTCAAGATCAGGTTAACTCTGACCTGGAGGTGGCATCTGTCCTATTTAAAGGTTGAAAGTTATGGTATAAATATCTGCATTTGTTTTTGTTTATTTGGGTGGGGTATTTTTGTTCATTTGTTGTAGGACTTTTTCCTCACATTTTTTATTAGCATCAATTAGTTGTACAAGGAAGTTGTCTTTTATTTGTTCTTCCATCATGATATTTGCAGTTTGGAAAGAGTTTGGAGATTGTCTTTTTTTTTTGCAGTCGTGGGGCCTGAACTCTGGGCCTGGTTGCTTTCCAAACCTCAGCTCTTCAGCTCAAGACTAGCTCTCTACCACTTGAGCCACAGTGCCACTTCCGACTTTTTCTGCTTATGTGGTGCTGAGGAATTGAACCCAGGGCCTCATGTATGCAAGGCAAGCGCTCTACCACTGAGCCACCTTCCCAGCCCCTGGAGGTTGTCTTTTAATACAATTTTTCAGAATCTCACAGAACCCAAACTAAATACCTACTTTTAAAAGAGTACATACCATTTAAAAAATCTTACTTAGTCTTTAAAGATTTTTCTAATGAAGTTTTATTGTACCTTTAAAAAATCATAGAAGCTGAGCACCAGTGGCTCATGCTTGTAATCCAATTACTCAGAAAGCTGTGATCTAAGGATCACTGTTCGAAGCCAGTGCAGAAAAGCCCATGAGACTCTCATCTGTGATCTAAGGATCACTGTTCAAAGTCAGTGCAGAAAAGCCCATGAGACTCTCATCTCCAATTGACCACCAAAACGCTGGAAATGGAGCTGTGACTCAAGTAGAGCTGTGGCTCAAGTAGCCTTTAGCAAAAAAGCTCAGAGGAGGCATCCAGGCCACACACACACACACACAAAACCATAAGAGAAAAAAATATTCTTCTTCCTATTCAAAGAAATTTGCTTAATATTCCCTGTCCCACAAATATCTAATTTCTATTAGCCTCCAATGCTTTATTTCAATAGTCTTTCAATATGCTTTAGGTTTGCTTTTAGAATCTATTAAATAATAAAACTAGTATCAGCTAGACAATACTAGTACGTACCTGTAATCCCAGCAATTATTAGAGTGGGATAGGAAAGTCAAGAATTCAAACCTAATCTGGGCTGTATACATAGCAAGATCTAGTCTCAAAAAACAAATACAAACCAAAACATACTAATTTCAAGCCAGGCACCAATGGTTTATGCCTGTAATACTAGCCACTGAGGATTAAAGTTCAAAACCAACCTAGGCAGGAAAGGCTGTTAGACCCCTATCTCCAATTAAACATCAAAATGCCATAACTAGAGCTTTGGCTCATGTGGTAGAGCACCAGCCTTGAGTAAAAAAAGCTAAGGGAAAGGGTCTTGAGTTCAAGCCCTAATAATGGCACCAAGTAAAAATTTAATCTCAGGTTAAAATTGCTCAAAATGAATACTTTTCTTTCTGGGAATTTCACTGTGATAGTATATTTTTGCCAAAAAAAACAAACAAACCCTGTAGTATCACTTCGTAAGTAGTTATTCATTGAAGCTAACTTTTTAATGTCAGCTTTAGCACAAAATTTTGTTGAAATGCTTTGCCAGTAAAATATTGTTTTAATGTGTTTAAATTATTTTACTTAGCTGAATGCAATATCCATACTTCTCCTTCTCCTGGAATCCAAGTAAGACATGTCTACACTCCCTCTACAACAAAGCATTTCTCACCCATTAAACAGTCAACTACTTTAACCAACAAACACAGAGGAAATGAGGTATCTACCACGCCTCTTTTAGCAAACTGTAAGTATTTGTTATTAATAGGTCAAAATATTTGTGTTACTAATTGTTTCAAGAGTTTGTCTTTGAGACATTATTTTCTTTAAATGCATGTTCTCTTTTTGAAAGCTTAAGTAATACCTAGTAGTTCTGGTAATTTAAAACTTTTTTGCCTATTATTACATATTGTAACATTTCATATTATGTTTCTCTGGGAAGAACAAGTACAGTTTGACTACTAAAAACCTTTATAATTTTACTATAAAAATTGAATGGTTTGTTTTATACAGTAGATCACTAAGCAAATGATTTTGTATTAAGAGCTTAGTGATTTCTACTGTAATGTTTCATTTGACTATAATAAAATGAATATAGAACCACATTTTAAAAACTTTTTTTTTTTTGGTCCAGTCGTGGGGCCTGAACTCTGGAACTGGGCGCTGTCCCTCAGCTCTTCAGCTCAAGGCTTGCACTCTACCTCTTGAGCCACAGCGCCACTTCCAGCTTTTTTCTTTTTGCTTATGTGGTGCTGAGGAATCGAACCCAGGGCCTCAGGCATGCAAGGCAAGCACTCTACCACTGAGCCACCTTCCCAGCCCCACATTTTAAAAACTTTGAATCCATAATTTTTAATACTGAATCATTGTAGAAGAAATAAAGTTTTTCTGTTTAGAAAATATTCTGAGCACTATGGGTGTGTGAATGAAAAATAACCAGTTAGCAATTTGATATTAGTAACTGTTTTTAAAACAATAATGTTAGTGTATCTATATGGTTAGTGTATCTATATAGTCTCTTGACATCTCTACTTTGGAAATACTAAATCCTTTCTGATATTTGAGTCTCATGGCATACAAGTTGAGCTAGAAGTCTCCTCCTAGGGTTCTTACTCCACCAATTGGCCATTTCTGGTTCATTTTAATAATCTTGTGTTTATATCTCAGGTCTTTTCTTTGTGTATGAAGGCTACCTATTCATATTACTAAAGTAAATAGTCATGCAATACTAACTGTTTAAAAGAGAACTCTCAAGAGCTTTCTTAAAATATTCCAGTCATTCAACTGAAAAGAAACAAAAACCTTTAGACCATTTGGTTCATATCCCTCATGCTCCAAACAAAACCATCTAAGATTGTATGGCTAGGTAGCTAAATAGGCTTACTCTCAATTATGTCAAGGTCAGTTTTCTCTTTATGATTTCATCTCTCTTAATGTTCAGAAAAACCCATGGAGTCTTGGATTAAAAATATTTAGGACTGGGCACCAGTGATTCATGCCTGTAATCCTAGCTACTCAGGAGGCTGAGATCTGAGGATCGTGGTTCAAAGCCATCCCTGGCAGAAAAGTCCTTGTGAGACTCATCTCCAGTTAACCACTGAAAAACCAGAAATGGCACTGTGGCTCAAAGTGGTAGAGTGCTATCCTTAAGCTCAGGACAGTGCCAAGGCCCTGAGTTCAAGCCCCTCAAGCCCAGATAGATAGATAGATAGATAGATAGATAGATAGATAGATAGATAGATAGATAGATAGACAGATATAGATATAGATAGATATAGATATATAGATATATGTATGGTTTGAGAAGTAAAAAAAAAAATAGGGTAAAATCAGGGTATTGTGGCATAGGCCTGTAGTCTCGGCTACTCAGGAGACAGAGGTAGAAGATGGCTGGAGCCTAAAAAGTTTGAGACCATTCTGGGCAACACAATAAGACCTCCTCTCAAACTTGTTTTTTTTTTAATTTAGGACTTCAGATGAGCACCAGTGGCTTGTGCCTATAACCCTAGCTTCTCAGGAGGCTGAGATCCCAGAGAAATACAGTTTGAAGGCAACCTGGAAGAAAAATCTGGAGATTTTTGTCTATAAAATAACCAGCAGAGGGGCTGGGAAGGTGGTTCAGTGGTAGAGCACTTGCTTTGCATGCCTGAGGCCCTGGGTTTGATTCCTCAGCACCACATAAGTAAAAAGAAAAAAGCCGGAAGTGGCTCTGTGGCTCAAGTGGTAGAGCGCTAACCTTGAGCTGAAGAGCTGAGGGACAGCGCCCAGGCCCAGAGTTCAGGCCCCACGACCGGACCCAAAAAAAAAAAAAAAAAACAGCAGAAAGCTGGGCTGGGTGCATGGATTAAGTTGTAGAGTGTAGCCCAGCAAGCAAGCACAAGATGCTGAGTTCAAAATCCAGTGTATAATAATAATAATAATACTTCAATGTAATCAAGCTATAAGAAAACAAAGGAGGTGAGACACTGGTGGTTCAAAGCTGTACTTCTAAGCTACTCAGGAGGCTGAGAACTGAGGATCGCGGTTCAAAGCCAGCCAGGGCAGGAAAGTCCATGAAACTCTTATCTGCAATTAACTACCAGAATACCAGAGGTGGCGCAGTGGCTCAAAGTGGTAGAGCACTAGCCTTGAGTGAAAAAGCTCAGGGACATTGCCCAGGTCCTGAGTTCAAGCCCCACCCAACAATAACAAAACAAGTGCCCAAGTGCCTAAGCTATTCCTCTGAAATAAATTTCATTGAAAATAGCAATTTGCAGATGTAAGGTTACCATCTGCAAACCTATGAGTCAATTTTCTCATGCAGAATGTCAGGATGTACTTCCCTGCTGGTTTTTGTTTTTGTTTGGTTTGATTTGTGCTGGTCCTGAGGTTTGAAATCAGATCCTGAAAGCTGTCCCTGAACCTTTTGCTGAAGGCTAACACTTTACCTCTTGAGTCAAAGTTCTACTTCCGGCCTTTTTTTAAGTAGTTAATTGAAAAATAAGAGTCTCTAAGATTTTCTTGCCCAGGCTGGCTTCAGTGATCATCAGATCACAGTCTCCTGTGTAGTTAGGATTACAGGCATGAGCCACCAGTGTGTGGCTCTTCCCTCATTTTTTTTTTTTTTTTTTGTCGGTCGTGGAGCTTGAACTCTGAGCCTGAGTGCTGTCCCTCAGCTCTTCAGCTCAAGGCGAGCACTCTACCACTTGAGCTACAGCGCCACTTCCAGTTTTCTGGTGGTTTATTGGAGATAGGATTCTCATGGTCTTTCCTGCCCGGGCTGGCTTTGAACCGCGATCCTCAGATCTCAACCTCCTGAGTAGCTAGGATTACAGGCGTGAGCCACCAGCGCCCGGCTCCCCTCATTTTTTTAAAATGATAGTTTTGTTATGGTAAAATATCTATTCTGCTAAAATGATAGTTTTGTTCTGGGAAATAAATTTCTTGCAGAAACCTGTGCCACAGGACAGTGGCTATGGGCCCTGCGGTGAACATTATACTGTGTTATTGTTTCAGCTCTGTCTGTGCACCAGTTGGCAGCTCAGGGAGAGATGCTTTATCTGGCTACTCGGATTGAACAAGGTAATAGCTTAGTTTCAAAGACTTTATTTTAAACAAACTCAATAGGATTAAGTTTGTTATTGTTTTATTTTAGTACAAAAAAGTATAAGGACAAAAGGAGTTATTAGCTATGCCAGGAAGATATTACATATAAGAAATATATGTACACCAGCTGTGGAAGGCGGCAACAAGGCTGAAGATCGCTCTCCACCCTCCTCCCTCGGCCCCGGCACCGCCTCACCCCTCCTCCAGGGGCCAGCTTCGGTGAAGGTTTATTCGTGTCCCTTTCACCCAGCGGACTCAGAAGGAGGTGGCTAAGGCCTCCAAGCCTCCAGTTTTTGAGCCCTGGTCTTTTAAATAAAGCTCTTTGAAACATTTTTTTAAAAGGAAATATATGTATATATAAATACATATATGTAACAAAAAGCAAAAAGTTTCCCTTACCTTCTAGTCTTCCCCAGAAGCAAATATTGTAAGTTGCTTGTATTTTTCAGAAACTTTTTTTTAGGAAACATTTCTATTTCTATTATTCCTCCTCCCCTACCCCTTTTTTTGAAGTAGTGTCTTTCTGTGTTGCCCAACCTGGCCTCAAATTCATAATCCTCCTGTTTCAGTCTCCCAATTGCTGGAATTAACATGTGTGTACTCCCATGCTCAGCTATTTTACAACTTTTTATAGTTTTAGCCTTTTTTTTTCTTGTCGGTCGTGGGGCTTGAACTCTGGGCTTGAGCACTGTCCCTGCACTCTTCAGCTCAAGGCGAGTGTTCTACTGCTTGAGTCACAGCACCACTTCCAGTTTTCTAGTGGTTTATTGGAGATAAGAGTCTCATGGACTTTCTTGCCCAGGCTGGCAGGACAGTGTTAGGATTCTTTTAAAAATATATCCATGGTTAAATGTTCACAAGTAGATTTGCTGGGTCAAAGGAAATAGAGATGTATTTATTCACTTGTTATTCATTCATTTATGGTGCTGAAGATTGAACCAAGGGCTCACATGTGCTAAGCAAGTGCTCTACCACTGAATCACGCCCCTCTCCCTGAATTTTTATTGTTAAAATAGCCAGATATTTGCCTTCCCTCTAGAGTTAGTTTGTATTTCCCTATATCCTCACTGACACAGAACAGTATCAGACTTTCATCCGTGGGTAAAATGGTACCTCAGAGTAATTTCATTTATATTTTTAAGTACTGATCTCTGAATTTATTTTTACATGAACTGCCTACAATATATTGATTTATAAATTAAGGGAATTAGATTTTTGTGATTTATGTTGCCCATAGTTTCTTCCTAATTTCTCCTGTTTCCTTTACAATGCTTTGAATAAAGGCTTAACATAGTGGTAAATTCACTTTTTTTGTATATGATTTCTGAGATTTTTACCCTGCTTAGAAATTTTTGTTTGTTTGTTTGTTTGTTTTTGCTGTTGTGAGGCTTGAACTCTGGGCCTGGGCACTGTCCCTCAGCTCTTCAGCTCAAGGCTAGCACTCTACCACTTGAGCCACAGTGCCACTTCCAGTTTTCTGGTGGATTATTGGAGATAAGAGTCATTGGACTTTCCTGCTTGGGCTGGCTTTGAACCGTGATCCTCAGATCTCAGCCTCCTGAGTAGCAAGGATTACAGGCGAGCCACCGGTACCCGGCTTTTAGAAAAGATTTCTAGGGCTGGGAAGGTGGCTCAGTAATAGAGTGCTTGGCTTGCATGCATGAGGCCCTGGGTTGGATTCCTCAGCACCACCACATAAGTAGAAAAAATTGGAAGTGGTGCTGTGACTCAAGTGGTAGATCACTAGCTTTGAGTTGAAGAGCTCAGGGACAGTGCCCAGGCCCAGAGTTCAGGCCCCACAACCAACAAAAAAAAAAAGGAAAGAAAGAAAAAAAAGATAAGATTTCTATTCCAGGATTACATACAGATCCAACTATTCTTATTATAGAAGTTCGATGTTTTTCTTTATTCATTTTAATCTTTGATTCTTATGAAATATATTTTAGTATACTGACATAAAGATCTAGATATTTATTACTGTAGTTTTCATTTTTCATCAAGCTAGGCAGTTACCCCAACATGGTTTATTGATAGTAAGGAGCAAGATCAAAGAGTCATGTCACTTTTATAAGACTTAATATTTCTGTTGGTTTTGGAAATATTCCCTTTCAATCTATTAAATAAACTTAGGAGGAAAAAAGTGTAGATCAAAACTAGTAGACTAAGTCTGGGGGATAAAATGGATTTCCATGTCAGATTATTCAGATTATTCAAATTATTCAGATTATTCAATCTTCATCCATACTCTACTGTGTTAACATCCACATGAATAAGAGAAATTCACAAGCAGCAATGTTAGCTATAAAGCTGAAGATAGCTTTTAAAATATACTAGAGTTTTTATAATAGTATATATTCAGTTTATGTTACGGGCCATTTTATATCATTTCCTTGTTAATCCTCCCAACTATATATTAGCAAAGCTAATTAATCTGTGATTAGGAGAATTAACTGACTTACCTAGGACCAAACTACTAGAAAGTGAGAAATATAATTTAAACTCTCTGAGACCACTGTTGACTACTTTATACCTCGTATGATGCTATGTCTAGTAATTTGTGCTATAAGGAATATGGTGTATGAACCCAGCATGTAGACCAAAGCACATTGTAATACTTTCAGATGGCCAATTTCAAAAACATAATAGAACTTCTACAAAGAAAATGAGCTTTATTAAGGCAGCTAATCAAGTTTTTAGAATGGCAGTGATTTCATAGTACTATTAATACATGGTTGTTAAATTAGATCACAAAAATTGCTTTTCTTTTAAATAGAAAATGTTATCAATCACACGGATGAAGAAGGATTTACTCCTCTGATGTGGGCTGCAGCACACGGGCAAATAGCTGTGGTAGAGTTTCTACTTCAGAATGTAAGGAAAATGCCTCAGAAAATGTACATGTATAGTTACTTAAGTTCACTTAAGTCTTTAGTTATAGTTTTTGTATCTCCAGCAAGCTAGACACAATGATGGAGGACATAAAAATGTTTTAATGCCTTTCATATTCCCGTGGAACTTGGATGTAGTTGGGAAGGCAGTGTTAATCATACACAGAGCAGTGAGAAATCACCTAATGTCCAGATCCCTCTCAGGGCAACAACAGCAGTATGGTCAGCCATGGAGGAGAAGGCTTCCTGGAGAAACTGTGACTTGACTCTAGTGAAAGGAGAATTAGGATTGAGACAGAAGAGGGAGGAAAGAAAAAGAAGAAAGGCATCCACACAATTTTAGTACTAATGAATAAAACATAAAACATGACCTGGCTTCAGTGCTGAACTGTTATTATTTTTGACATAAGTTAAGAATGTTCTTGTTGAGATTAATAGCAGGTCTTTTTATCTCCACTTCCCATGCCAGGGTGCTGATCCCCAACTTTTAGGAAAAGGTCGAGAAAGTGCGCTGTCCTTGGCATGTAGTAAAGGCTACACAGACATTGTCAAAATGCTGCTCGATTGTGGAGTTGATGTAAATGAGTATGACTGGGTGAGTCCATGTACCAAAGATACAATTGCTGTAACAAATTCTAAATTCATTTGGTCTAGGGGAGCATACATTTTATTAAGTACTTAGGAGATTTAACTTATTTATCACTTCACTTATTTATTTGTAATTAAATACTTGGAAGAATAAGATAATTTTACAAATTCAACTATTAGTTCTGACTTAAGTCTTCTTCAGAAAATAACAAAATTATCTTTAACGACTTTTACAAGCCAATTTCTAATAAAAAATTCCCACAGCGGCATTTAATTGGCTTCTTTTAGGAGGGAGTAGGGAGGTTGAACTCAGGGCTAATTGACCCTTGCAAACCTTAAACCTCTAAACCACCTTTTCCTTTGGCAGAATGGAGGGACACCTTTGCTTTATGCTGTACACGGAAACCATGTGAAATGTGTAAAAATGCTCTTAGGTAAGCAGATGAAAAGGAAACAATATTTAGGAAGTGCCATGTGATTATTTTAATTTTTTAATCTGGCCCTCTCTGACTAGTTAGGAGAATCACTGGCTATTAATCCTACTGCTGTTCTTCCGGGGCAGTGCTACCACATAGATGCCTTCGAGAGAAGTGGCTCTTGCAGACAGCACATCTGCAGGAAGAGCTTTCTCCCTACTTTTGCCTTGGTCTCACCCTTGAATCTGCTGTTGTTTTCTCTGCACAGGCTCTTTATGCATAGACTGTGCCTTTAATTGTTTATGAGCTTCAACATGCCTTTTTAAAGTGGTGTTCTTCTAGCCCACCAAAGTAGATTCTGTGTGGCCGCCTGAAAATACCCTCCAAATTGCCTAAAAATCGAACCAACTACTTGCACTTGAGCCAGCCACAGACAACATAGATTCATGTTTTCACTCATTTGTATAAAATTTTCTATTTTGTTATAGAAAATGGTGCAGACCCAACAATTGAAACTGACTCTGGGTATAATTCTATGGATTTAGCTGTAGCCTTGGGCTACAGAAGTGGTAAGTAGTTCTGAATTTTTTAAACAAGTAAAGCTTTATAAATTGTACATGCTAGTGGCCTGAACATTTTCATCACTTATACTCATAAAATATTACGTGGTATCCTAACTCCTGACACATGCTTTTAAATGCAGGTAAACAAATTTCTACACAGTTGAGAAATGAATTTGATTCGCATACTTTTTATAACCCAAAGAGAACTGGAGGAAAAGTGCGCATGTACTAGCAAGATTTATTTATATTTTATGGCAACTATTTATAGAAAAACCATAGAACAACATTGTGCTTTCTGAATTCTTCCCTTTTAAATTTTTTAAAAATCTTAAGCACAGAAAGTCCAGTAACTTGCACAACTAATCAGACAAAGGTTTGTTTTTAAAAATGCCTTTTTAAATTTTAAGTAGTTGTACAAAGGGGTCTCAATTCAACATATTAGATTGCGAGTACAATGCCTCTGGAGCAATGTCACCCCTTCCATCCTTCTCCCCCATCTTTCCAAGCCCATCCATGTCCTCAAGTGATGTAGTTTAAGTTTTCTATAATGGACATTGAACTTAATGGCTACGTTTGCCCACCCTTCCTCCGTTTGCCCACCCTTCCTCCCTCCATTCATCTTTCCCCATCTCCTTGCATTCTCCACCCCGAATACTGTGTGGCAATACTTGACATCAAACTATGTGTGTGTCCTACTTAGATGTATGTTTATTTTGGCATTGGCGATAAACTGAATTTGATAGTTTACTTGGTGATCTGTCTGTTCCAGTTCAACAGGTTATTGAGTCACATTTGCTGAAACTACTTCAGAATATTAAGGAATGACCCAGTCCTCAGAAATGCTGTCGGCCCTTCTGCTCCCTTCTTGGTCTTTATAAATGATAGTTTTGTTTACTTATAAATTTTTACCTCAGTTGCAATACTTTCTGATTTTTTAGTAAGTTTTTATTCCTCTTGGTAATTCACTGGTTTATTAAAAAATTAATGGCAATTTTTTATAAATGTGTTTTATTGTATATTTAAAGTTATAAATTAATGTTTTATGGCATGTAAATTTTTATTGTACAGATAGTTATCTGTCTTTGTACAATCTCTGTAATTCGACACTTTCATATATGTTCTGCCCTGCTCAGCCTTACTCTTGTATTTCCATTGAGTCTATGTAGGATTGGTTATAAATCCATAGGGAAAAAAGTGTTACTGTTGAATTAAAAAGTGCACAGTGTACTTGTTTACAAAATGATGTTATAAATAAAGCTTTGTCAGTTTGCATTCTAGTTTTATTACTTATATAAGTTTATTGCCACTAGGTGCTGGTGGCTTATACCTGTATCCTAGCTACTCCTGAGGCTAAGAGCTGAGAATTGTAGTTCAAAGCCAGCTCAGGAAGAAAAATCTGTGAGACCTCTCCAGCTAACCTGCAAAAAGCTGTTCAAGTGGTAGGTCACCAGTCTTGAGCAGGAAAAGTCAATGGAGAGCATTTGAGGCCCTTAGTTCAGTATTGGCACTGTAAAGAATAAGTGGCGCTGTGGCTCATGCAGCAGAGTGCTTGCCTTGAGCTGAAGAGCCCAGGGACAGTGCCCAGGCCCAGAGTTCAAGCCCCACAACAACAACAACAACAACAAAAGTTTCTTACTAATTTCTTTAGGATTTTTAGCTTCAGCTCTCTGTCCTACAAATCTCTCAACACAGGTTTAATAATGGTCATTTCTATAGTGTATTTAGGGTTTATTTTTATTTCCAAAATTGGCTTTTTAGGAAGAAAAGTTCTGCATGAAAGAAAAGTCAATTTCTTAGTACAAGTGAGATGGCACTTAATTCTACTCAAGGAGCACTATAAATTCTTATTTCCCCACAATCTATAAAGAGAGGCATAAGCTAGAAGTTCATCACTGTGTGTGGGACTTGATTTCCAGTCACTTCATCTGGAAAGTAGATGGTCTGTCAGTTTGGTTGTAAGCCATAGAAACTTGAGCTGGCCAATGTAAGCAAGTGAGAATTAATTGAACAACGGCCTTCTCCCCACTATGGTGTTGAAAATATATGCCTCCTTTGTTTCTTTTTTGTACATCAATTAGTAGTACACGTCCACATATGCACATAGTTTACCTTGATCCGACTCACGTCCTCTGTCCCAGTACCTCATCCCTTTCACTTCCCAAAACAATCGCAACAGGTTTCACTGCTCTGTTTTTCACACAGGTGCATACAGTATTTTGACTGTATTAACTTTCCTTCAACCTCTTTCTTCATTTGCCATCACATACACACACACACACACACGCATACACACACACCCACACACTGACACCCCAGACAGAATCTGTTTTACCTTCCTGTGATTCATTTTCAAGTGTAAATTGTTCAATGACACTTGTGATATTTCACACGTGCATACACTGTGCTTTTAACCTGATTGGCTCTCTTGTGTACTCTCACTCCCCATGCCGTGCCTTGTAGCCCCATTATTCAACAGCTTTCAACGAGTTTCATTTTCATTCACAGATGCAATGTGTTTTATACTGTTCACTCTCAAACATTCTCTCTTCCTCTGTACCCTCCTTACAATCCCCTCAAACACAGACAGCATGTATGTATGGTCCTGTATGTGGTTATGTAGATGTTTACTTTTTTAGATCTCGCTTCCACATATAAAAGAAAACATTTAGCCTTTGTCTTTCTGCCTCTTTTGTTTTTGTTTCCACATATTTCAGCTCATTTCTCTGATAGTCTCCTGTCTTGGAATCACAAATCATTCTTAAGGATTATTCCGTGTGTGTGTGTGCGCGCGCGCGCGCCCACGCGCGTGCCTGTACACGCATGTGCACACACATGCACGCACTGGTACATGGGCTTGAACTCAAAGCCTCTGGTTTCTCAGAGCCTCTTGGCCTCTTCACGCAAGGATGGTGCTCTACCACTTGAGCTATACCTGCTTTCCCTCAAAGATTATTCTTTATCACAAAAAGGCTGGTCTTGTTAGATTTGGCCTGGTTATTGACATCCAGAGGATGATTTACCTATATAACTATATCAAGTCTTGTCTGCAAATTTAGAACCTTGCACCACTGAGAAACTACTAAGGCCAAAAGAAAAGAGTTTTCTTCAGCCAGTTTTTATCATGAATCTCAGATTTTTAAACCCCTGAATTGTTTGCTCTATTCCAAAGCTAGATGTCTAAGCCTGATTTTAGTTTCCTTACTGCTAGTAAGCCACGGTCATGAAGGCAGTCACCAAAATCATTTATGGTGGGGAGGATTACCATAGAGTATTATACTGAACTGTGCTGAACTGAAAAGAATCTTTGGACTCCTGGTATCCAGAAGTTCTGACTTGGTCAGAACTGAAAATCTGAAAGATTGAAGGACAGCAGCCAGGAAGCCTGTACAGAGGACCAATTTGTAGCATTGGTGGTATCTGGTACACCTTTCAATATGGCTCTCTATGATGTTCTGGAAGTTAGAAGCACCAAGCTTAGAAGAACTAGATATACATCTATTAAAAACAGACAGGATCAGGAGAATAAATGTCTAATGTAACAATATCAGAAAGAAAATAGATTCTCAATTGTGGTACTCTACGTAATAGTTTCTTTTCTTTTTTTCCCTCCAGTCCTAGGATGTGAATTCTGAGCCCAGGGAATTGTCCCTGAACTTCTTTTGCTCAAGGCTAGCAACTTCCAGCTTTTTCCTGTAATTAACTGGAGATAAGAGTCTTGCAGACTTTTCAGCCCAGGTTGGCTTCCAACCACAATCCTCAGATCTCAGCCTCCTGAGTAGTTAGATTTACAGACATGAGCCACCAGCACCCACCTACATAATAGTTTCATAAACAGACAATATATCCACTGAGAGAGAACATATTCAAGACAATAAAGATATTAACATAGCTCTAAGCCTTCACTGGTCACTGTGGTGCATGCCTGTAATCTCAGCACTCAGGAAACTGAGGCAGAAAGATTAGAAATTTGAGGCTATCATGAACTACACAGTGAGATAACCTGTCTCCAAGAAAAAAGAGAAAAGGGAAAAAAGGAAGTTTTCAAGGCTTTTCCATAAAGCATATATCAATAGCTAAATGCTATTCTCAAAGCACAGGTTGACAGCTATCCTGCAAATATTTTTTCTATTTCTAAATTTAGAATCTTGGGACATTAAATGAAGAAAAACTTATCAGACAAGATTTAGATACATTATGTGAATACATCTATAGTAAATATAGAAAGATACAAGGTATGGTAAGCCATATCATATTTATTCATAAGACTAATTTATCATTCTAACTTCATATTAATATAAAATTTGTTAGTAAAGATTTTGTAAGCTGCTTTGTTTTTCCTTGTTATCTTTATCAAAGATAATCATAACTGACAGAAATTTGCTAGAACACTATCTCATTTATGTAGCTTCTCTTCAGAAAGATATTTAAATCAAGGAAAATAAAATTCCTTTCTTCCTTTACAATTCCTCTGTAGGTCAAGGTTTATATTTCCCTCTAATATTTTATGTTCTGGCACAAACTGCCACTTTCATCCAGGCCCAAATTACTGTCTTTTTTGTGACATACAAAATTATGTACACATGAATGTTTCTCTGTCCTTATTGAATAAAATCATTTCAACCATCTGTATTAAACACAAGTTTAAGCTGAACTAATATTCTATCACAAAAACTAGCAGGTAAACGGTTAGAAACTACTTTTCAGGACAAAGAATCACAGTTCAAATCCAGCCTCAGCAGAAAACTTTGTAAGGCTCTGATCTTCAATTAACTACCAAAAAACCCACAAGTAGCGGGCTAGGAATATGGCTTAGTAGTAGAGTGCTTGCCTAGCATGCCTGAGGCCCTGGGTTCAATACCTCAGAACCACATAAACAAACAAAAGTCATCAAATATATTATAAGAGGGGTTAAAGGCATGGTTCAGTTGGTAGAGTGCTAGCCAATATGCAAAAGCATCAGGTACCCAGTTCAGGTCCCAGTCTTGTAATAAAAGTAAATAAATTAGTTTTTTTTTATAAAGCCACAAGTAAAGCTGTGACTCAAGTAGAAGCACGCCAGCCTTGAGTGAAAAAGCTAAAAAACAGCACCCAAGACCTAGATTCAAGCCCCAATACTGGCATACCAGCACACACACACACACACACACACACACACACACACACACACACACACACACACACACTACATACTACACAGATGTTAACCTCACTAAGTCTAGCACTTTAATAAACAGTGAATCAGATTCCATTTCCCCAGATAATACTTCAATGGCCTTTGTCTCACAAGACATTGAAAGGACTTGTCATTGTGGCCTGTTAGCACTTCAGGGAAACACCAGATGAGGTTAAGGTAATCACACTCATAATTAATCTCTCTTCTTTCATCAGCTAAGAGGTAAACTAATATATATTCACTGAGGTGTTGGTGACAACGCTTTTCTTACAACACCCCCCAAATGAGCCTGCACAATTCACTCTCCAGTCACTTCAGCAAGACTTTGAACTCTGAATGAAATGGGTGAATCTTTTAATATTCTTCATGATTAGAAAAATATTGTCTTAATGTATGTTTTAAGAAAAATATAGTAGATGGTTGTAATCATCTAGCTATCATTTTTAAAGTTTGTAGCTCTAAAATTTTCTTTAAAATGTCAGTCTTCTGAACTGTTTCTCCACCTTTTGGCTAAGATCAAATATAGTATCTGTTTTTAATCAATTTAATAAAATGTCAGCATCCTGACTTTTAGAACACTCTATAAGATTTGTTTACCAGATCTTTCTGTGTATGTGTACTAGTCCTGGGACTTGAACTCAGGGCCTGTGGGCTGTCCTTGAACATTTTTTGCTTAAAGTTAGTGCTCTACCACTTGAGCCACAGCTCCACTTCCAGCTTGTTTTGGGTAGTTAATTGAAGATAAGAGTCTCATGTACTTTTCTGTCCAGGCTAGCTTCAAACCACAATCCTCAGATTTCACCCTCCTGAGTAGCTAGGATTATAGGTGTGAATCACTAGTGCCTGGCTCTTTTTATTTTTATGAATTAAAAAGTTAAAGCTTTAAATTGTTTTGTTAGAACAAATTGGTCATATAGACATGAATGACGTAGGTAGATGTTTTATACAAATTATATCATCGTGTTTACTTTTTCCAGCAGATTATAGTGCAAGAATTTTCCTGTTAAGATTTTCTGTGGGATAAGTGAAACATTTAAAAATTTTATCTTTGGGTTGGGAAGGTGGCTCAGTGGTAGAGCGCTTGCCTTGCATGCATGAG